CATTGTCGGACATAATAAATATAAATAAATGACTGAATAAAACAAAAACCTTCGTTGTCACTAGTAGGGAACATATCATCTTTCAAGCAATTTGAGTATTAATAAATTATTTATAAATAAACAATTTTTTAGTTTAAAAGTAAAAAAGTTTTTTTTTGCCCCATCATTCGATCATCAGACTATTTAATATCTGTTTCTAAGGATCAGAATTCCCTTTTATTTTACTTCAAAATTGTACAAATGATATATTTAATGCTTTCATGTGATATGCAGCAGTTTTAAATAGCACTTTAAAATATCTAAAAAAGGACAGAAATTGTTAGCTCAGAAAAAAATTAACTAATACTTTTGAATAAGAATTTAAATAACTACACACGTTTGTTTTGCTATCTCATTCTATATAGCATTATTTAGAGTAGACAGTTGTGTGTGAGTATGATGATGACATAATAAAAGAGGCATACAAAAAAAGAAAATTTCATTTCAGTTAAAATCCTCAATATTATATTTTTAAACTCCTCAAAAATGTAGTAAAAGAGGTATACAAATTAACTGTCGCAAACAAATTAATATTAAATAAGAACGAAACAAAACTGATATCGAAATGTGCTGAATCACTAATGAGACCGGGATGAAAGACATGGAAACCCATTTGATTGAATAGTATAACTAGAAGGTGTTTCTAAAATTCTGAAATCTAACAGGCTTTAATTTTTTTGTTACTGCCACAAACTTTATCAGTAATTAAAAATAATAAATTCGTTAGATTTCAATATTGGTTCTGCTTTTTCGTTTATTAAATGTTAAACATTAACAGATATTTGTCTTTTAAAACATTTCATTCTTTAATAAGATAATTATTCTACAATTGTAATTATCTAAAACTAATTGCTAATTGATATAAAGCTCTGGCGTGTTCCATTGATATGTTGAAGGCTAGTTTTGGCGGGATGACCGGGACAGTTGCTCTTTCACATCCTAGCCACTATACACCATCAAGAGCAGAGCTGATACTTTAAACCCGTATGACATTTATTCTCTCTGATATTTAATAGACCCTTTAATAAATCCTTAAAAATATAAGTCAAAAACTAACATAAATAATGATAATTTTTTCGTGCACTAAAATTTAACAAATATACTTAAAATAATTAAAAAGAAAGCAAAAATAATTAAGAAATATTTTCAATATAAACATCAATTAAATAATATCAGCTTACAAAATGTTCTTTTTATTTTTACAAACAGTATTAATATAATGGCCCTCACCTGCTCCAGGGACTGCTGGATTGGGTTCAAAATGACTAGGCTACGGAGTTGAATATTAGTAGTCATAAACTCGAAATTGGGCCGGCTGTGCAATGACTGTCATAAAATAAACTAATAAATTTGGCCGGGATAGCCTGATTGATAGGGCATTGGACTCGTGTTTGTAAGAATGGGAGTGTGAATCCAGCCGACAGATGAATATCTATGTATAAAATGGTGACTGGTGCATGTTAAATCTGTTGGGGTCACAAAATCCTCCAAGTTCTCATAACAAATAAATACCTCTGGGCACTAATCTAGCAGTTCCCCTGTCTTCTGGATTGGATTCAAAATGACAAGGCCACGGAGCTGAATGTTAGTATTCGTAAACTCGAAATTGGGTCGGCTGTGCAATGACTGTTATAAAATAAACTAATAAGTTTGGCCGGGATAGCCTGGTTGATAGGGCGTAAACTCAAAATTGAGTCGGTTGTTTAACGGTGGTTATAAAAAAATAAAACTAATAATCAAATTGTATTTTCTTGTCTTCTTTCTAACTCTTTGCATATTTTCTACACACATTCAAAATGTCATGTTTCTAAGTCTTATAGATTTTTTAACGTAAAGAAAATACAACTGGAAAAAAAATTCGCGAAAAAATCATTAAAAAATGCAAATGAAATATATTCAAAATGAATCTAAAAAAAAAAAAACTCTGTTAAATATATAGTGGCCCAGCACGCCAAATTTTCACTCGGTGCTTAAAATGTGTTTCTTTTGTAACTTTTCCCCCTCGTTCAAATAATATGTGCAATAAAAGAAAGGTTCTACATAATAGTCTCATCACAATTAATATATTTAACAATAAAGTAATATTATCAAATTTTTTAATTATATAATGTTATTACTCAACAATAAAAAATAGTAGCAGTTTACTTTAGGTGCATAGAAATGGAATTGAACTTATAAGGGCCCCATCATTTTTAGTAACTTAGGGGCCCACCAAGCTGAAATCCGGCCCTGAAAAGAACTAATAATAGAATAATAATAAAATTTAAGCAGACAATATTTTGAAAATAATAATTTATTTTTATTTTGTATGTCAGCCAAGTACTACTTCTGAATGAAATCACTATTAGATTTTGGTTCTAAAAAGTCAAGAATGTTTCTTATTCACTTTTATGAATGGGTTCAATCACAAGTGAAAACCTATTTCAATAGAACAAATTTGTGATCGATTGATTTACCATACAAATACACACTTCTAGGTAAAGCTGGTGCAAAAAGTATCGTTGGACAGGAATAGAATTCATACAAAGAATCTATCCTAAATGCTTTAAAGACAATGGTTCTCGATTTTGTGCATCAATTTGTTTATAAAAATGAAATAGTATCTGCAATCCAGGAAACAATTTAAATTTTGAGTTTAGTCCTCTTTAAAGTTAACTTTGAGACCTAATATATTAAAAAAAGTGAACACTGATACATAGCTGCCAACACTGATCGGAAAAAAAACCCAGTAGATTTTACGAAATAATACAAACTTCATGATAATTGTTGCATAATGTACCAAATATTTTATGCATAGGGGATTTTAGGGATTTTTATGGACATCAAAATAGAAAAACTGCAATATTTTCCAGTTATTATTGACATCAAATGAATGTGAAATGCTTATTATGTTTAGGCATAATTTTGAATAGTAACAGGCATTATTTATCAAAGATAATTAAGAAATTTTTTAAGTAATTTAAAAAGGGAGTAAAGAAAAAAGTTTTAAACTGATTTCTATGAATGAGGCTTGCTTCATTATGTATTAGTAATACACATTTAAACATTCAAGCAAGATATGTGTGCAAAAATGCCATTTTAATTTTTTAGGGAATTTTTTAGGAAATTTTTGTGAATTTTTTAAAAATGTACTAAAATCAGGAGAATTTTCAAGGGCCAGAAGAAACTGGTTAAATCCAGTAGAGTTGGCAGATATGCACTGATATTGTTCTTCCATGCATTTTTCCAATTTAACAATTTTGTCAACTTAAAAAAAAATATATCACCATGAAAAAGCAAAAAATTTGTTGTAATGCATTGAAAGCATGGAAACCGAGATCATACTTTGGGAACAATAATCATAAACCCACACTTTTACGCTTTTCGTACAAAAAAACCCCATGAGTGGTACTGAAACAACAATTAAGAAAGCATTTTAAAATTCAGCCTCACTTAAAAAAAAAAATCCCAATTTGTTTATAAGATTGTTTATGCTTACAAATTTGAATTATTTATAGGCCCTTCATAATGTTTCAATAATAACTTACATATACTTTGTCCGCTTTTGTGAAGGGTCCAGTCTTAAGGGCCACCTCCAGTTCTTTTAACTGAACACTGAACGCATAATCAAGCTTGTATGTGTGCACAGCTACTTCCTGAACACTCTCCTGAAAATAGATATTTTGAATTACGAAAAAGTTTTACATGACATTTTTGTTTAAAGCATAATTTAAAGAAAAATAATATTTTAACATTTTATAAACAATAACTGGTTACAATTTTTGTTAAATAAAAACGTCACTATTTTTAAAATAGATAAAATTATGATCTAGTTCAAACTTATTTCGAAATAATAAAACCAATTGTACTTTTTAGTTTCACTATAATTTAGGAAGGCTCAATTAACTTATTAACAATAGAATGGTTTATACTGTTCAATGAGTTTTGACTTTGCATATGATTATGCTCAGTAAGAGAAGAGAGTTAATACACTTCATCTTCAATATTTTGGCTCCTAAGAGTGAATATCCATACCATATTCAAACGTGTAACATATGACGGATTTCCCTGCATAGTAAATATGGCTAAATTGACAGAAATAACTTTAAAAAATGAGTCCTAATTCTGGTGAGTTCTTTTTTCTTTAATAATAAAAATTTTGAAAAAGACTGTTTTTATTTTAACTTTTCATGATGAATTGTCTTTCTATGAAAAACAAAATAAAGACTATAATATTAGACACAAATATCTAAAATGTAGCGAACTGGCTGAATCTTAGATAAATGACTACTTTGTCTAAATAGGTATCCAAATGGATATGAATTATTAAAATTTCAAATTTTAAATATATGATATACAGTAAAATAATAACAAGAAAAATAATAAATCAAAAACTGGGTTAAACACCAAGCTAATCACCTTTTAGACTATCAATGAGGATTTTACACATTAGTAAGACATCCAAAATCAAACGCATTGGTCATGCTTAAAAGGTATTTTATAAAAATCATTTATTTTTTTAATTATTCACCTTAATCATTTTTATGTACTTGTAATAATTTCTCAAAAAGATGAGGCACCTCTTTTCATATTCTCTTCTTTCTCCATCATCCAACAATATTTCTAAAAATATAAATTCATTAAAAATTAAAAAAGTGCAAGGTGTTTAAAAAAGCTATACATTACAAAAGAAATTAAAAATTCTCATGAAAATGAGTTTTTATTAATAGTATTGATAAGCACACAGTTGCTAAAAACAAAAGTAAATAGAAATGAACATGAAGTTAGCTTTATTGAATTGCTAGCTCTGTGAATTTCATTTGCCAAAGAGCAAATAATTTAAAAAAAATATTACTTTTCTGAGGATCCTTTGACAACACTTTTAGTTTATTGTGAGCTACATGTATAGTTTTTATAGGTTTGTCACAGATATACAGATTTCTACAACATTTAAGGTTTTTTTTTATGGAGTAAATTGCTCAGATTACAAAATAAAATTAATAATTATTGAACTGTTATTAGGACTAATGTCAGTTCTTATTCTCGCTTTCGCTTTCACTAGTTCAGAACAAAGTTTAGCATACAAAAAGTCAAATCTCTTTCCATTAAAAAACTTTAATAAATTTTTGTTTTGCTGTGCAAAAATTACAAAACTTAGAAGCTTGAAATTACTAATGTGTATAAAAAATGTACAGAGTGTACAGAGGAATAAAAAAATTTAACATTTGATAATTAGTTTGAGAATTATTAACTTTTAAACTTGTAGAAAAAAATACCATATGGACTGCTTTACAGGCCACTGGAATGCAACCATAAAGTTTAAATTCGGTATACTGGAAGGGCTATATTTGCTTATAAACTTAACACAGTTTTTTTTAAATTCTAATTTCTTTGAAAGATTTTGCAATATTAATTTCTATTTTTGCAAATATTTTCTCACTTTTTTTTGTTGCTTTACGTTACATTTTGCTTAACTGCCAAAAATCAATAAGACATAACTTGAAATCATTTTAGAAAAAAGTACAAGGAGTAAGTCTGAATAAAAAAATTTCAACGATTAGTTAAAGAATTATGTTACTGTTAAACTTATAGGAAAAAATACCATGTTTGTTCGATGTGTAGCCAGCTTAAATACAACGATGGAGTTAAAGTTTAACATGCTAAATGAGCAATTTTCATTAGTAAACTTTTTGCTTTAAATTCCAATTTTTTTTTTAAAGTTATTGCAAATTTAATTGTTGTGGTTTTTTTTCCAACTTTTTTACTTTAAACATTGGCTTTTAATCGATGATTACCTATTGAAATTTATATTTCCCACTCAGGATTTTTCTTTTTATATTTTACAACCTTATACTCGAGTAGATGTCATATGAAAGAAAAAAAAGAGAGATGTTACCAAACATAAATTTGAACATTTACAGTAAAATTTTTGAAACTTATAAGGAGCAATAAGAACCATTTCCTATTGAAATTGTTATAAGTCTTGTCAACGAGCAAACTTATTTCTAATTTATTTCTTCTTATTGAGTCTTACAGTTCTCATCCCTTAGGTTAATTTCTTTTCCAATACAGATGATTACTTTCTGAATCTCCATTTTCTTACGATTAACATATTAACAAAATGTTCCTACATAGAGGTACAATATTGTGTATTTTGAAAACAAAATGCTCTCTGTTTTTGTGAAAAATATTGATGCTTAAGAAAAAAAAACAATGAGAAGCACTTACAGGGGTTAGTGAGCACATTGATTAGGGAGGTGAGAGCCTTCTAGTTTTGTAAAAAATAAATCTTTAGTAATTCTGCAAATTGTTCAATATGAAACTTTTATTCATGTTTTGAATGATCTAACTTTTAAAACACACAGACTTTGAGTTTGTATATTTTAAAAACTTATTCAAGAATAACCACAAGTAAAGGTAATCGTTATTTTCTATTTTAAAATACTCATTTTCAGAGAAGTTTAAAAGAAATACTGATTCAGATAATATATAACAACTAAAAGAATACTTCAATCTAATAATAAAACTAATATAACAAAACTAATATAATAAAATAATATAATAATAAAACTTAAAAATAATAATAAAACTATAATACTTTGTAAATAAAACTGAGTGATGCTCAGAACTAAACATCACATTGTAAGTTATATTAACTGTTTTGTTGGTAATAGTAATTATTTTATTATCAGTTTAAACATAGTAAAAAACAAGGGGATAACCAAAAACAGTTAATGGAAATGTATTTACATTAAAAATCACACAATTTGAAATATTTTCTCAATTTACATTAAATTTAGAAGAAAAAAATGTTAAAAACTAATCCAAAATAATCACAGGTATCAGTTCTATTGCAAAGCATTTAAAAAATTTATGCCACAACTTATGCCAAAAATTTAAAGATGAGTGCCTCTGCTTACATATAAGTTTTGACCGCAATGCAATTTTTTTTTAAAGCTAAGCAAAATTCTTGTAAATTTCATGAACCAGCATTAACTAGGTATTGAAGCTCTAAAATATTCCTCATTATACAGGGATACACATATTCATTCATGTGCCAAGAAAAAGTTTTTAATGTGTATTCTAGCATTTTTATATGCTATTATCAACTATGGTATTTTATTTTAGTAAATCCACAAAAGAGACAGTTTCTGGAAATACTGTTCAAAATATAGAGAAANTTTTATATATAGTAAGAAATCCACAAAAGAGACAGTTTCTGGAAATACTGTTCAAAATATAGAGAAAACAAAGAAAAAATTACAGAATAATGAAAAGAGAAGAAGAAAATTATAAAAATAAAATAAAATTAATAACATGAAAAAATAAAGAAAAATTTTTGTAAAATAAAAATCCGGGGAAAAAAGATATAATCTTTTTATCCGCTCACACGATTATATACGCAAAAAGGAGTGCTTTCTAATATTGCATCAATATAGCCAAAAAAAAAAAAAATCAATAAGCACTCACAATGTATGAGGAGCAATTAAAAAAACTTTTTTTGAGTGCTTCTCACACTATTGTAAAAATATACTAATATACCAAAAATAAAATAAAATAATAATAAAAATATATCAATAATAAAACAGTGTTAAAAAACCTTAACTCAACCTTATTAAAATTGTTACAGTAGCAGATAATAAATACAGTACAGATAATAACAGTACATCTTCAGCATAATAAATCTTCATTGGGAAGTCAATACAAAAAAATTATGAACAAATAAATAAAATAAAATTAAAAAAAAATTAAGAGTTTTCTGAATTACGAATTTTCCAAGGGTCTTAAGAACTTGTATGAACCATAAATACACAAATTACATTATTAAATTTTCATAACCCATCAGTGATAAAATATTTTAACACAAGGTGGTAACATTTTACAAGCATATAAAAGATTAGATTTTCGAATCAAAGGCTTCATATGCAACAAAAAACATGAACACAAGAAACTAGACTTTACAAATTTGTTACCTTCTAGGCGTTCTATTTCACTGTTTGTATTGGTGAGATCTTCAAACAAGTCTTCATTCATTTGAGGAAGGATCTCTCTCATTACTTTTCCAACTGCAACAAAACAGCATTAAAATTAAAAAATATTCTCAGATGATATAGGCAAATTTGCAGCTTACATAGTTATAAAATTTTACATCGTTTTTATACTACTTACTTAAAGCGCAAGTTAGGAGGTAAATGTTCAACATAAATATTTGATTAAGACAAAGAAAAAAAGTTTCAACAACAGGGGAAAAAATTAACTGTCACTATTGCCCACTGGGCAACTAAATATAACAAATGGTAACTAAAAAATTTTCTGCCATTTACTATTTCTCTACTTTTTTCATCAAAAATGTACCTCATGCACATTTTATAATAACAGAATACTTTCGATATATCAAAGTTACAGGGCTCCAAAAAGATTTTTGAGATAGCGAGTTTTTGAGATAAAAAGTTCAGAGCTAAATATGTTCTAAAAAGTAGAAAAATATATTCTAAAATATCCCTCTTAAGTAGAGTCATGAAACATAAGAATAAGAACTAATAAATATGTATGTAACGATAGTTGATTTTAAGGCTAAATACAACAATGATAATTTCATTTTTAAAAGGTAAGGACAAAATTAATTACGCATTAAATAGAAAAGAATTGGTTTACAATAAACTTGAATTGTGATTTTTCCGAAAAAATTCATTTTCTATTTTAAAAAAAATTCGACATAAAAAGGTTTTAGAGGAAACTCTTCCATGTAGGAATTTAAATTAACATTAGGTGGATATATAATGCAAAAGAGAAAANTACGTAACGATAGTTGATTTTAAGTCTAAATACAACAATGATAATTTCATTTTTAAAAGGTAAGGACAAAATTAATTATGCATTAAATAGAAAAGAATTGGTTTACAATAAACTTGAATTGTGATTTTTCCGAAAAAATTCATTTTCTATTTTGAAAAAAATTCGACATAAAAAGGTTTTAGAAGAAACTCTTCGATGTAGGAATTTAAATTAACATTAGGTGGATATATAATGCAAAAGAGAAAAATATTTTTTGTTATAACAAGGTTTTCTAGATATCGAGAGTATACTGTATTTTTTTAAAACAAATATGCAATTCTAAAAGTTACTTTTTTTCACTCTTGTTTATTGATTTTTTTTTTTTATTTAAGAAATGAGCTTTGTTGTGCTTACCCTATTTTATAAAATGTCTAAAAAGTAGAAATGTGGAAAACTACTGATTAAACCAGGAAAACTGACAAAATTCAGAAAAATAAATAGTTGTATGTTGGGGTGGAACACAAAAATTTAAAAATGTAAGTATTTTTAAAAAATAGTATTCCTAGTGTCTGTGCAAATATTACACAAATATATTTCAGGTGACTTTTTTCTCCTTTTTAGTCAGTAGAAATCAAAACCTTCTCCATGCTTGGGTGAGAAAGTTGCAATACCCCCTATCCTTTTTTCCTTTCAACTTTGACTTTTATTGTAGTAATCTAATTTTAAGATAAAAGTTGCTAACATTGCACAAAGCAAAGTGAATTTTTAAAAATTTATTTTATAAAATTTTAAGTAGAAAATTCGTAAAAAAATGCTTTGTGTTTTCCTTCTGTGTTCAAAACTTTTAAGCGATCTCTTACTTCCATTTTGAAACTAAACTATATTTCTTGATTAAATAAATTTCATTAAAATTTTTCTAAAGAACAAAAAGAAATGGGATTTACATTAATAAATAGTTTGCAAGCTGTACAAAATTTGAAAAGTGCATTTAGCTAGTTTCTTTTAAAAAATGTGATGATGCATTATTGACAATAAAAAGAAAACCATATAACTGGTATTGTATATAGATATAAAATACCATCAAGCATAAATTTTCCTGCCTTCTGCCCGTACCAATTATGAAGTCTGATTCCTGCAGCTATTGAGGATATCTCATTGATGAAAGCTATTTTGGTCCTCTGATTGCTGGACACAAATGTTGAGATGGCTGATGATGGGAAAATACTATTCACTGCCGCTACAAAAATAGACATCATATGCAAGATTAACAAGTCAAGTTAATTTTAACATAGCAGCAGAGACATTATATATTCTAGATAAAAATCAGCTCGAAATATTCTTTGAGTATTATACTGATTCTACTTCTACTTATTATCATTGCCTGCAAATATGGATATCATTTGATAGGTTTTTGAGCAAAATTTATTTTAACATAAAATTTTTTTCAATTCAGCCCTGCAAAAATAATAAAAATGCACTAAATAAAAGAAAAATGATGAACACACAATAAAAAATATCTACAAAATAATGAAATTCAAAATTAAAAAAAAAGTCTGCTTTAAAAACATAATTGACTATTAAAGACAATGTCTTCATTAAATTTACTTTGAACTAATTATTTAGTTTTATTAATATGATAAAGTTTAAATCATTTTGAAAACATACTTTTCATTTCATGGAAGGCTAAGGTATCATTCTGATCAGCCATACCCTCTTTTATCAGTATCAGCTTGATCAAATCTTTTTGGAAATCCTTCAGATCTTCTGAGGGATTGCTCAGTTTTTGAATTAGATGGGAGCATTTTTTCATAACATTATGTTTCTGATGATTTCTGAAAACATCTGAAATACAAGAATAATTTAATTTCAAGCACAGATTATAGAGTTAATCTTAATCAATCCAGAAATTTAGAGATTAATTCAATTTTAAAATAAAATATAAATTAAAGGGAGATCTAGTTTAACTATTCTTAAGTGTTGTGATCGATTGTGAGTTACAAGAAATATGTACTTAAAACTACTGTTAGACTATTTAGCAAATTAAAAAAAAATAATAGCAGTATTAAATATTAATTTACAAGGAAATTTTTAAATTCTTTCTCCAGTTATATCACAATTTAATTAATGTGCCATAAAAATGAAATAATAATAATAATTAACCACATTTATAGATGGATTCGAAGAATAAAATATTATTAAGGTAGCCACAGACTCTTAAGATAAAAATTTCTGGATTTTTCTAAAATGAACTAATCAAATTTTTCTCATTTTTCCGGACTGATTTATCAAATTTCAATGATTTATGTAACATATGGCTAAATTTTTACTAATCATTTTTCAGTTAAGCCTTATTCTTATACATGATATACTGTACAAAACATTTCTTACCTCTTCTCACAAATCTTCCATGAAATAAACACTGCATCCTGAGAGTAAGGCTTGAGATATTTTTCAAATCAAACAAATTATCATAACACATCTAAAACAACGAGTTCTGGGTTCAATTAAATGCATACATACTTTATGTCTAATCTTTATAGTTATGTAGTAAATTATATAGAAATAAAGCAACAACGGAAACAAATATGAAACAAATCACTTCCAGAATATTAATGAAAAGCTGAAAAAAGACACAAGAGTAAAATATATTAAGTTGTATTACTGTAACACCAAATATTTCATGAAAGAAAAAAAATTCAAAAATTTTTCATTAGTTGAAAAAAGCAAAAAAAAAAAAANAAAAAAAAAAAAAAAAAAAAAAAAAAAAAAAAAAAAAAAAAAAAAAAAAAAAAAAAAAGCACATTTTTATTTTTTTTTCACAGAATGTATTGTTTCACTGTAAATTATTAGGAAATCTGTAAGAACGTGAACCTTTTGAAACTTTTATTGTAGTGATAGAAATAATAGGAAATCTTTCATTTTTGAATTATTTCAATCTACACTTATTATAACTAGATAATTTCACATTTAAGTCATTTTACCTATTTTCAGCAAGAACATACAAAAAAAATAAAATCACAAAAATGTGAGGAGATCTAATTCTACATTTTTACCAGAAATTAAATGACCAACCAACATATATAGTAAATAAATATATCTAAACGAAAAATTTCTATAATGATTTCAAATCATAAAGAAACAAATTAAAAGTACAGAAAAAATTCAAACAACAGTTTAATATTTACGGTAAAGTATTTAAATGCAAATACTTTTAACCTTTAAAAATTCTTGCTCTTGTTCAGCTGTAACATCATCATTTATAACATATCGGTTCTTGGAATCAATTAAATTAATTTTTATCTGAAAGAAAAGGAAACTATTTAAAATCTGTACTGAAATAGTATAATCACTGAAGATAAATTTTAAAAAGCTTATTACTTACTGCTAATTGCGCTAGAGTTTGTAACAATTGCTTATTTTGAGCTTGGCATAATTGAATAAAGAGTAAAGATAACTTTTGAATAATTGAAATGATTTTAGAATCCTTAAATAGGCTTAAAGTTTCTGACCACATTATATCCTAAAATTTATTTTGGCTTTCAATTTTAAGATTTAAATAAGTGAAAATAACAGCCTTGTTGAAGATAATACTATGCTTTGCTTTGTTGTTATTGCTTCTGACGATGCGTTGCGATGGTAACCAATACAGTTGCAGTTTGTAAATGATTTGGAGCGAAGCAATTTTGGAGATTTATGTATTTTGTACGCAATGTATTGATATTGTTATCACATTAAAGATAATAAATCATTTTAATAACATTGCAGTAGTAATAAAACTAATTGACTCGTTAACCGATGCTATGAATTAAAAACATTTCTTAAGCCATACAGAAATAGACAGCCAAAAACCCTTTTGATAGCAAATAACAAAATAAACACTAATCGGTCGTCCGTGAACGTACATGTGTGTGAAAAATATAGGCAATTTATAATTATTTATCTAATATTTTGTTTTCATCTTTAACTATTATTAATTTACATTCCTACTATTGTCTGTTGGTGCAAATTTTATATTTTTTGTATCTGGTGTATATCATGAATATAGTACCACTAATATTGTAACAGTACTAGTTTAATGTTTTCGAGACTAACACAAATATACTTTGGTAGTCCAATAAATAATTTTAGTTGAAATTGGTTAGATTTGTTTGTTACTGATAATTTAATATTCCCCTATAATAAAAAATTACTACTTAATAAATAAAATTATTTATTATTGTTAAGTTAATGCTTCGATTCTTATTTTTTAAAATTTGTTTTTAAAAGTTTTTTTGTGATCTGCCGAATATACATTTCAAACCAGAAGGCCTCTACATTATTTCTTCAAACCAATAAAATATCAAAAACACTTTAGGAAATGAAATTATAACACCTCCTAAACATTTAATAGTGTTGCTTTATTGAACATTAATTTAAGGTATTAAATTCGCAGGAAAAATATGGATGAGAAAATTTCCATATCGTGATTTGCGACAGAATAATCGCCAAGTCTTGGCAACTTCCCGACGTGGATTTGTAAGAAGGAACGAAAAGAAAAAAGCCCCATCTCATTAGAATACCAACTTGCAAGACAATTCGAGCAAACCTTAACCTTTTTTTTTTAAGTATAAAATCCATTATCCAATTGGTGCCTTAACAATTATAGTCGGCATGACAGATCACGCTATGGAAATATATCACAAGCTTTAAATCCAGTTGTTGATGGTAGTTGGCTTGGAAATAGCCCCATTTAGATACCATAAATTTGGGATTATTTTCATATTGTGATCTGTGGCAGCATAATTGCCAACTCTTGTCAATTTTTAGTCGCAAGATGCTAGAAAAAAAAAGAAATAAAAAAAACATCACTAAAGTATTGCTAAGAGAGACACATCAAAAGTGGAACAACTCAGCTTGTAGTTCCTCTGAGCAAACCTCTAAATTTCTTCTTCTTCAATAGTTTGAAAGTTTAAAATCCAGTTTGATGCCTTGGCGATTGTAGTTGCATGACAGATCATGATACAAAATTTCCCATTAAATTTTAAAGTAGTCAATGCAATTATTAACCTGCATTAATTCATCATATATTCTTTGTACCTTCCACCGACACTGATTCTATGATGACATAAATGGGCTTTTGTCCCTCAATTAATTTTCAAGAACTTTTTTTCTTAGTGTTTTGAAAGATTATATTTCTCTACATTATGAATGTTAATAGAAAATTGTTCAGATGGCTTGGCTGAATTCCTATATTATCCTATTCATATAAGTGCCTTCCCCATATTTTCTACATTTTAAAGATTTTTTTCTTTACATAATGCATAAATAAATAGCAAAAATATCTTTAAGCTTGACTGAATTCCTTTAAATATTACACATTCTTATTTTAAGAAAAATATGTTTTCTATTTTAAACGTTTATCAGAACATTTTTTCATCATTCATTAATGAGCGTTATTTTTTTTCTCACTATGCACAGAAATAATAAATTGTCTAATAAACTTACCTGAATACTTTAAAAAAGTCTTTAAACTTTACTATCTATTCCAAAAACTGTTTGATGCTAAGCCATTTAATTTTTTTTTTTTTTTTTTTAAGATCCACAGCAGTGACATTTTTTATTTGAAATTTTAAAAGATGGCCATAGTTAATTTTCATAAAAAGTTTTCCAACTCTTTTGTTTCATTTGCAGGGATGAGATTCTTCCGCGGATTTCCGCTTTTTTTCAGATTTTTCCATTTTTCCCGCTAATTTCCGCTGAAATTTTTTTTTTGCCCAAGTTAAAATGTTTTATGAGGAATTTAATTTTCCACGAAGGGAAATTGTTGAAGTCCCTTTTCCTCCCTCTGAAGTTTCTCTAAAAATCATTTCCTTGGGATAAAACTGGTTGACCTTTATACAGGGATGAGATTTTTTTTGTCTCTCGAATTTCAGCCTTTTTATGAAAAACTCTGATACTCTAAAAGTTTCGTATTTTTTAAATAAATATCCCGTTTTTTTTTAAATTCAGTCATTGAAGTAAAATAATTATATTTATTTACGATTTTCAAAGATAAACAGAAAATTCAATCTACGCCCTAGCTGCTAACCCTTCCGCATTTTTACTTATTTTAGCTATTTTCTCCGATTTCACGCACAGAAAATAAGATTTTCCGTATTTTTTATCCGTCGGCTGGATAGCTCGTATTTTNAAAATTATCTTAATATAGATTCCATTCACTCTAAAATTGATTGTTTGAGATGAAAACAAGGAAGCAATAATTTCGCTTCTGCAATTGTTAAATCAGCATTGTTACATGATAAGTTCAGAAATCCACTTGAAATGAAAAGAATGCAATGAATGTTGTTGTTGTTTCTGATCCCCACTGGTTTAGCGGAGCAAGACCAGGTCCATGAGTTCATTCACCCTTAGGAAATCAAAAGACAAGACCGGGTCGCGCAGAAAATCCTCCCTTTCAAAATTCACACAGCTAAGGAGGTGGACCGGGCTGACTGCACTGGAGGAACATTTGTCGCAGGTGGGATAGATATTTTCTGTTGTTCATACCTCATGCACTTTATGTGACCACTGATGAATCTAGTGAACTCGGTCTGATCACCTCTATTACCTTTGAAGGTCAAAGCATGACCCGGCTTATCCCCAGAGTACCAGATATGTACTGGGGGAGTATTCCAAACTAACTGGGCACCTTGCTTTCTAATGGAGTGAATTTCCCAGGATGTGAGTGCCAAACTTTCCGGCAGAGGTTCATTTGTGCCAAGTTTAGTCAGCGATCTCATTCCCTTACAGACCAACGTGGGACGGAATCCACTGCAAATAAATATCCGGCTTCACGGAAAGTTTACTGAGAAGTTGTAAGATTGCCGTTCCAGCCCTATCTCCCACTCTGGGCCATGCACTCAAGTATTGGATAGAGCTTCTACTATCCGTTAGGATCCAGATAGGGTCTAGCAGCGGATCCTCTTCAATTGCGTGCAGTCCTGCCTCAATAGCAAGAACCTCCGATCGGAAAACAGAACAAGAATTCGGGTTTCTCATTTTAATGTTGATATCACCGTCAGGTCTCTTGATGTAGACTCTAATTCAGCCATGTCAAAGATACGGCTCGCGGGCCGCATCCGGCCCCCGGTTCGTATCAATACGGCCCGCGATCGCGATATGTCACAGAAGGAAGAATCGTGTTTTTTTTTTTAGCTTTTAGACTTCACTCGATTCCTCTACGGAAGTTTTAAAATGTGCACACTGCATTTATAAGTAATTTCAAGGGCAGCGCGTGCCTAGACAAGCGAGAGAGATAGACAGTAACGACATCTCTTAGCAACAGGCGAAATCTTCGACTGGAATATACTTAGGGTTATGAATTAACACTTGACTGATCTGAATGTAAAGTTACAGGGTAAAAATCTGATTGTCACTCAAATGTATTCAAGCCTTTGAAACAAAGTTGAGGCTGTGGGAAAATCAGGTAAAAATTCAAACTTTGGACCATTTCCCTTATTTAAAATAATTTGGCACAGTGAACCAAAAAAAATTGGATCAGTATTCTCAACTTCTGCAAAATCTGATCACGGAATTCAACAATCGTTTTGAAGACTTCCACAAAATGAATGAAACGGAATTCTCAATTTTCAACAATCCATTCAATTTTGAAGTTTCACGGGCACCAGTTCATTTGCAAATGGGGTTGATAAATCTTCAATCGGACAGTATTTTGAAAGAAAAATTTCAAGAGGTTAACGCTCTTACATTTTACACACAATATTTCAAGAGTTTGGATAACTACCCGGAATTAAAAAAGCATGCAGCACGCATTCTGAGAACAAGAGAAGTCAAGTATCTGGATTCTCGAGCTCAAAATAATTACCATCTTTTATAACTTTGATATGATTTTTAACAACCGTATATTATATACCATATAATTCGATAAATAAAATGTTATAATAGTTCAGTACATTTTTTTTATTTGAATCTGGCCCGCCTACACATTCTAAATTTAATATACGGCCCTCTGCAAAATTGAGTTTGACACCTCTGCTCTAGGCTGAAGTCTGCAGTTATCTGCAAAGAACTAAGTGACTTCATGGAGTGTTCACCTCACAAGTAAGAGTATTAGGCATCTACTGTTGTATTCGGCATCCGAAGATGGAAAATAAAAATACGAATCAGCAATCCTTATCACGTGTCCTAGCNCCCACTCTGGGCCATGCACTCAAATATTGGATAGAGCTTCTACTATCTGTTAGGATCCAGATAGGGTCTAGCAGCGAATCCTCTTCAATTGCGTGCAGTCCTGCCTCAATAGCAAGAAGAATTCACAGAAACAGAACAAGAATTCGGGTTTCTCATTTTAATGTTGATATCACCATCAGGTCTCTTGATGTAGACTCCAATTCCAGTACGACTCCGGTCGTCCCTGCTACCGTCTGTATAAACGCAGAGGCCCTCCTCTGGGAATGTTGTTAATTATTTCAAGAGGCAGTTGTTGTAGCAATTCAGTAGCGTCTGAATTTTTATTTGTGCTTAATGCCAAATCCGGACTAAAGTGTACTCTTGGAAGCCCACGAGTTGCGTTGAGGGGTCTTAAGGGAATGTTGTTCGACATCCTGGTAGACTGTATTTATGAAAATTGCACGTGAAAAAGGGCTATCTCTTCTTAGTCTCTAATTATTGGTCCAATGTAGGAGGTAGTCAGCTGTTCTGTGCTGGGCCCCATAACTAAGTAGTTTACTAAAATATTTCACGAGACAATTCTCTCTTTTATTTAATGGCAGTGTTTATGAGTTTTATGCATCCATGAGTTTATGCAATGAATTGTAAAGTTAATTGCATGGTAATACAAGCTTCTGCACTATTAGAATTTAATTGAATATAGATTTTGCTGGCTCAAAATCTGGATACATCTTCAGTGTGTCATAAGATTCAAGGTAAAAAAACTTACAATGTTGTACATGAAAAATTATGAAATTAGATGGTAGTATCGCTTAATATGAATGACAAACTTAAGTTATGAGTTGTGTGCTTTTTTTTATTTGAAGAAGGGGGAAAAAGGAAAATAAATATCATAAAAATATTAAATTTTCTGATTTTGAATGTTTTTATTTTCACCAAATTGTGTGATATCACATTTCTTGTTATGTTCATGTAAGTTTTGATTTTTTTATGAAATATTATTTTTTATTCTAGGTAAAATGATTTCAAAATTATGTAGATGAAAATGATTTACTCAATATTTCCATATGTGATCAAACACCATGGATCTACCAAGTATTTTAAGCTTATTACTTCTGCACTGAGACAAGTAATTATTGATTATTTTTCTTTGTTACTTTTATAATAATTTTTTTTAGGGTACTAATTTGCTTTTATTATTATGTTTTAGCTATTTTAATATATTTTTAAATAATTGTAATGTGTCCTTTTTTTAAACACTAATTTTTAAAGTTTGTTATACCCTTATTTCTTTTACATTGTTTTAGAATTTTTTTTTATTGCTCAGCAGGTATTTTTTTTTGCCAACTTTTACTGAATTGGAAACTATTTATGATCAAAATTTTTTAAGGTTACAATTTTATAATTATTTTTAATGCATGTTTTTTTTTTGACAAATTGTTTAAGCTTAAGTAATTTTAAAGTTTCAAAATAATCTACTGTAAAATAGTTATTTNAGTAATTAGTAATATGTTTTTGCCAAAAATGTAAAAATTGTCCACACTAGCCCCCTTCTCCCTAAAAGTTCCTTATAATGTTTGAGGCTCTTTTTAAATCAAAAACAAAAAGGAACAAAAAAAGAGACTAAGTTTTGGAGAAAATCATAATAACCTACCTTATTGAGGAAAAAAGAAAGAAAGAATATGCAACATTTTGAAATCTTATTTTAATATGTTTCTTAAATGAAATATAAATGTAAAGTTTATTTATACTGTAACATCAGAAAATTGGTAGTTAAAAAAGCTTTTCAAACATTTGTTGTTAACTTAATTACGTAACTTTTTTAAATTTTATTTATTTATCAAAAGTTTTCTTTTATTTATGTCTAAAAAAGATTTAAAAATTTATAACTGAAATGCCTATTTGTTAAGTTTATCTGAAATTCTTATTTAGTACATTTATCTGAAATGCTTATTTAGTATATTTATCTGAAATGCTTATTTTGTTTATTTCTATCTGAAATGCTTATTTAATATGTTTATCTAAAATGCGTATTTAGTTTACATTTGAAATGTTTATTTGTTTTATAGAAAAGCTCTAAGGGGAAGTTTGAAACGAATACCAAAGTTTTTGCATCTGCTCCGGGCGTCCCACTTGCGAAGTTTCCTCGAGAAGACTCGAGAGTGAATGACATCATTGGAAAAAATGTGACTGATTCTTCAAATGGAGATGAGATTCAGGATCATTGCAAATCTGTAGAAAAACCTGACGTTACTCTTTCAGTTTCTGAAAAATTAGATGCTTCTAAAAATGATGATAAAGTGAAATTATTAAATACCATAAAACCTAGTTTTTTAGAATGGCATAGACAACACACTGACTGGAGACTTTTTCCCTCCCATTATAAAAGTCTGGCAAAGTTTAGACTTTCAGGTAAATAAAAATAGTTTCTGATTCTTTATTTTTGCACTTTTTTTTAATTTTATTTGTACTGTTTGAAAATAAAATGTTCATCATTTTAATGCATGTCTTTGTTGTACATTTCTGGCAGCAAAGTACTGATTATTAATCTTTTGCCATAATTATTTTAGTGAACAATCAATTTATTTTCAACTAAACTTAATTTAACTTTTAAGTTTGTTTTTCTTAGTTTTTTTTTTATCAAGAAGTTAAGTCTGAGTCATTTTTAAAAAATAAGATAAAATTCAAGTCTGATCTAGTTTTATACTTCTTACAAAATTTATATTACCAATTATTCTCTTTTTGTTGGATTTTCATACCTTAATTTGTTCTATAATTGTACACACAAAAACTGCAAAACTACATTAATTAATTAAGAATTATAAGATTCTTTTTCTTTATAATTGTAACTGTCTAGATATGTTTGAAGCTTTTAAGCTTTGCGAAAGTGGTTTTTCTTCTTTGAGTTAAACTATTAATAGATGTCTTATGTTTTTATTTACAGAAATTTACCATTAAATGACAGACATTATTTAAAGCAATATAGAAAAAGTTAAAGGAAATAAAATGTTTAAACTTTTTCCTGCTGACCTAGAAATGTTTGCAAATTAATATAATGCATTTAGATGTTATAATTAGTGAGTACCACAGTGGTGCAGTTTGGNCATATCGGAAGTTCGACTTACCGTTAGTTTCGGTTTTGGACTTTCAAAATTTTGTCGGATTATTTAATTAATGCTTATAATTACAAATCTTCTAAATGCTTACAATATTTAAGATCATTTTTCTGACAAGCCATTTACGATAAGACTGTTTGAAGCACTTTATGATACCCTGGTCCATTGACTGCAACTTTGCTGTTGTGTTTGGCGGGAGAAACAGCAAGTTTACTGCTTTCAAATTAGGTAGATCACTATGCGCTGTACATTTATCCATTAAGAGAATCACTTTTCTTTTTTTTAGCGAAGAATTTCCGATCCAATTTTCTTACATAGTCTTCAAATAAAACTGATGTCATCCAAAACTTTTTGTTAGATTTGCAATCCAAAGGATACGTTTTTACATTCTTGAAACATCGGGGATTTCGGTATTTACCGATAACAAGTAAGGGCAATTTCTCTGTCCTAGACGCATTTCGTTCAACTAGGACAGTCAAACGTTCCTTGCACATTTTGCCCCCCTGAGCAGTTTTCATCCTTAAACATCATAGTCTTATTTGGAAGACATTTAAAAAATAAACCCATATCATCAATATTGAAAACATCATTTTCACTGTATCCTTGAAGTAAATTTGGTAATGTTTCATTTAACCACTGTTCACATACTTCAAGAGGGACAGCTTTAGCTTCTCCATGAAGAGTGCGAAAGACATTGTGTGTGTTTTGCAAAGAAAGGGGCAAGATATCAGCTCCAAGGTTTTTTTTTCTTGCTTTAAAAGATCCAAAAAAATCGAGTTAAAGGGAGTAAAATTCGAGTAATCGAGAATAATTAACATGAAATTGAAGATAAAAGGGTCGGGACCTCATAAAAAAATCGAGTTATAGTAATATTCGAGTTATCGTACTTCGAGTTATAGCGAATTGACTGTATAATGCATTTAGATGTTATAATTAGTGAGTACCGCAGTGGTGCAGTTTGGCTAAGGCATCACCCTCACCGCTGGTTTCTGAGATGGTTACAGTGAATTTGAGCCTGGTTGCCAACAAAACAAACGCCTTATGTACGCAGCAAGGTGTACATTAAATCTGTGGTGACTGAAAGTCCTCTCATTGGTTTTGATGTGTAAGTTACAGCTCAGTTGCTTTCCATGTCATCTGACCTGGATCAAAATTACGTAGCATTCTTACCATGGCTGTTAAAGGATTGAGCCTTAAAAATGGGGCTAAGTGCTTAGTCATGATAGGGTGATGGTATAACAAAAAAAATTTTTTTTCAAGCTATTGAAATCCCAAATTTAAGGGTTTATTTATAATTGTTACATGTCACATTTAAATATAACTTATTTATAACTACATTTTTTACATCAATTCATACTTACATTGAATGTCTATATTTGCTAGGACTAGTCGTACTTACAACACTTGCTGGTTATGGGATGGCACCAGGACCTTTTGATCCAATGACCTTGTCATGCATGGTTATTGGAACAGGACTCACATCAGCAGCTGCTAATGCTGTCAATCAGGTGATGTTTCATTCGTTTTCTACAAAATTCTGACATTTTCCTTAGATTAGCTGGATTTTTCTTTGTATACTGCTGATTTATTCTAAGGTATTCATTCCTTCCAGAGATTTCTCTATTAATTTTATACAGTAAAGAAATTTATAATGAATACTGAGGAGTAATAATCTTTTTAAAATTTCTTTAGAGATGTTATAAACTTAACTTTTCATCTTTTGGAAGTTAAATTTAATTATTAGTTAAATAACAAAAATCGTTTCTAGTTTATTTTAGACATATATCAAAATCATTAAAGTTTTTTATATACATCCTTTTAATCTTAAAATATTATTGGATTGTAAATTTTAAAAATTTTTACTTTATTTTATTTCAAATTTTATATTTATTTTATGTTTGTACCTGAGAAACTGTTCATTAGTCGTGCAAAGTATTTTAGGCTTATTATTTCTAATTTCAAGAATTTTTATTACTCTTGAGTTATTTTAAGGAAACAAAAAATCTTCAAAAATTTCTTCATTCTAATTTTCTAAAAGAAGTACAAGTTAAAGGGTTATATTTTAAAACATATTCTTAGCAAACCCATTAACAAATCCCTGAGGAGGGTGAAGGAAACAATACCTTATTTTATATTTGAAATAAAATGTTACAGTTATAAACAATGATTTTTAATTTTATTTAAAGGTTCTTGAAATTCCTTATGACTCTCAGATGAACAGGACAAAAAATAGGGTCCTGACTAGAGGTTTCCTTTCGTAAGTAATTTATATTATTAAAAAATCTAATAAACTTTTTTTTTAAGTTGCACTTTACCCAAAACTAAAAAAAGATGTCTTCCTTCAAAGAGTATGTGTTCCTGGAATTCACAATTTAGTTTTTGTTTGTGCATCAGCTTAAAATGAATTAGGAAAGTTGAAATTGATAAAAATAATATAAATGTTACTGCTGCACCTCGAAAACCATTATTGTGCACATTACCTAGTTACTCTTCATATTTTTACTAGGATGATCACTGAAAGTGCGAAATCGTGAATTTTTCTTATTTTACCTAGGTAAAAACTAAAGTGCCCCATTAATGGTTTTCACATAGTAAAAACTAACAAGTTTCCGTTTTTCATTCTATCAACCAATCTGTTGATTGTTTAATTTTACTATGTTAATAAAAAATATTAAATTTATTTCGTTAATTGTAATTATATTTTAATATAATGTTTTTTTTAAATATATTTTTTATTGATAATTGATTCCATTAACTAATTTGTTGATTGTCTTAACTTGATTCTTTAGATTTTGAAAAATAAATAGCATGTTTATTTAAACACAGAGATATTTCTGTTGTTCAAAAATCTAGAAAATGCCTGATTTTAATTTGTGTAATTTTACACACATTAAAATCAGGCATTTTCTTTTTGTAAATTTTCAATATTTTCTCTGCAATTATTTTTTGTTGTTTTCATGATAATTTTTTTAACGGGAAAAAAGTTTTTATTTATTTATTTATGTGTGTATGAATTTTTATCTAGAGTGCATCAATAGCTGTGTTAAGCATGATGCAAAATATTGCATTTTCATTCTTATTCATTTTGTGAAAAACTTAATTGTTATTATTTTATTTACTACAACTCTACAGGGATGATTGTGCTCCGGAAAAAATCCGGATTTTTCGCTAACTGCGATCCGAAAGCTTCCGGAAATCCAAAATCCAGAAGTTTCAAGAAATCATCGATCATTTTTATATATAAAAATTCTTGTATATTTTATTTAAAAATATGAGAACTAGAATTTACACTTGGCATCTCTTTCATTTGTAAATATTTTTTGTGGTAGAATAATAAATGTGAATGGAGATAAAAGTAAACTTACACATAATTATTCATTTAAATTATGCTGCATGTAATTTATTTAGAATATCATGTTTTGAAAATTTTAATGATTTAAATCCGCAAAGATTTTAATTTTTTGAATGATTTTACTCTTACTTGATGAGAAATTTTCAGGATTTTTGAGTTGGGCCCACAATCACTCCTGACTCTGTGATCTGTTAATTTGTTTAAAATATTTATTGTTTTGGGCTGAAACTTTTGTTAATTGAACCAGCCTTATATGGAAAAACTTATTACTAAATATTTGCAAGTCTTATTATTATTATTTTTTAATGTCTTCCATTTTTTGAAAAAAATTAAAGTGATTACTAAATTAATCTTGGATAAAAAAAATCTTTGACAGTTTGTGAGAATTATAAAAGCATAGAAGATAATCATGTTGATCACAAATTTTTTTGATAAAAAAAATGATCGTAATTAAGTTCGAAATTAATCTAACATGCTTTAATAAAATTATAAATATTGTCTAAAATAAAGAGAATTTCTTAATTTTTTTAACATGTTTATTTTTAGGCCCTTCCATGCTGCAGTTTTTGCTACTTGTTGTGCAAGCCTTGGTGCAACAATGCTCTTCTTAGGTACAAACACCCTTACAGCAGTGCTTGGTCTCACCAATCTTATCCTGTATACAAGTTTCTACACACCAATGAAGAGGTGCAGCATAGTGAATACTTGGCTTGGTTCAGTAGTCGGTGCTATTCCACCATTAATGGGGTGGGCTGCTTGTATGGGAACACTCAACATGGGTAAGGTATCCCTTAATAAACTCTGCTGAGTTGTATTTACCAACTTTTTATTTCATAAAATAACCAATAGTAGATACTTTAAGCTATGTCTTTGCCGATTTTGAGAGCGTCTACTTTGACTGATTAATAAATTTTATTATTGTGACAAATGAAGAAGCCTTTAAAAATAATTATTTTATTAATCTCTAATGTTATGATATATTTTAAAAAATTTATAGTATATTGTTATTTTTTATAATTATTTTTTTAATTTTTTAAATAATGATAACTTGTACAACTTGGTAGACCACATTAATGTCATTATCAAATTGATTGTGTAAAAAATATACAGCATTTGTTGTAAGAAAAATGTCTGAAATACGGTATTTGTGCTTAAATTTTATCTATTAGTTTGACCATCATTAGAATAGTGGTAAAACATTTTTGTTATTATATAAAGGACAAATCGTGTCAACCACATGTTTTGTCATTTATTATGTTCCTCAAAATACTTATTCAAGTCCATGAGACAAAAATGTGTTGCAGTCTAACATGTTGATAAAATATTAATTTATTATATCAAATTTATACATAAATCTTTCTCAACAGAAAAAAATATGTTTTTAAACACTCAATATCGGATTTTCACAAATTTCTTTCAATGTCATGTAACATGTTCTTTTATTAAGCTTTTCAAAGAAAAAAAAAAAAAAGGATTGCCTTTTCTTTTTGAATGTCATTTAACTTAATCTTTTAATTAAGTTCTTCATAAANATCGTTATCTTATATCCTTGTGTGTCTTATATCGCTATATCGTTTTGCGCTCGTTGTCTTTGCTCGACAGCTTAAATCAGATTTCTGATGCATCGCCTTGAATGAAAGTCGCTGTATCGTCTTGCCGATATATGCGTTAAATCGATATGTCTCGATGCATCGATTTATAGCCCAGTCCTAGTGACAAATGAAGAAGGCCTTTAAAAATAATTATTTTATTAATCTCTAATGTTATGATTTATTTAAAAAAAGTTATAGTATATTATTATTTTTTATAATTATTTTTTTTATTTTTTAAGTAATGATAATCAGGTGTACAACATGGTAGACCACATTAATGTCATCATCAAATTGATTGTGTTAAAAATATACTGCATTTGTGGTAAGAAAAATTTTCTACAATATAGTATTTGTGCTTAAATTTTATCAATTAATTTTGTTTGACCATCATTAGAATGGTGGTAAAACTTTTTTGTTATTATTGAAATCATTTATTATGTTGAACAGAATAAAGAACAAATCATGTCAACCACATGTTTTGTCATTTATTATGTTCCTCAAAATACTTATTCAAGTCCATGAGACAAAAATGTGTTGCAGTCTAGCATGTTGATAAAATATTAATTTATTATATCAAATTTATGCACAAGATCTTTCTCAACAGAAAAAAAAAATGTTTTTAAACACTCGATATTGGATTTTCACAAATTTCTTTCAATATCATTTAACATGTTGTTTTATTAAGCTCTTCAAAAAAGGAAAAAAGACTGCCTTTTCTCTTTGAATGTCATTTAACTTAATCTTTTAAGTTCTTCATAAAAGACTGCATTTGCTTTTTGAATGGGTATTAGCATTTTTTTTCAGATGAGTGCCATATTTTATTGCTCTCTCCTTTAACATACATTTTAAATTATATTTGCATTTTAGTTTCAGATGGGTGCCATTCTTTATTGCTTTCCCTTGAAAAACACATTATAAATTTTATTTGTATTTTTGTTTCAGGTGATTTCTTGATATGTGCCATACTTTATTTCTTTCCCCTTTAAAACACATAACTTATATTTGTATTTTTGTTTCAGATGGTTTCTTGTTGGCTGCCATACTTTATTTTTTACCCCTTTAAATCACATCATAAATTATATTTGTATTTTTGTTTCAGATGGATTATTCTCGATGGGTGCCATACGTTATTTTTTGTTAAAATGCATTATAATATATTTTTGTTTCAGGTGCGTTCTTGATGGGTGCCATACTTTATTCCTGGCAGTTTCCCCACTTCAATGCACTGTCATGGAACCTCAGGTCAGATTACTCAAGGGCTGGATACAGGATGACATCTGTCGTGGACCCCAGTCTGTGCCGTTCTGCGGCACTGCGCCACAGTATTGCCCTGCTAATATTCTGCAGTGCTGCCCCCCTCCTCGATCTCACCACATGGACTTTTGCTTTTGACTCCTTCCCCCTCAACTGCTATTTCATCTATTGCGCATGGAAATTTTACAAGGACGGTGACACAAAGAGCGCCCGTAAATTGTTCAGGCTCAGCTTAGTTTATTTGCCCGCACTCATGTTCTTAATGTTCATTGGTAAAAAGTATACTCCTCCAGTAACATGAAAAAGTTATTTATTAAGTTTAATTTATTTTATGATTAGAGCAACTGTATAAAGTATGAATTGTTTTAAATGTTGTTCATTTCTTTATTTAGCAATAATCAACACAAACACGAATGTTTTCATTACATTCATAGATTCAAAAACTTAAAATTTTTAAGTGTCAGCAGACGATATTCTCTTTATTGCACAAGTCAGCGTCCACTCTCCTTTTTGTATCTTACTGTAAATCAATCTACTTTTATTCATATTTTTGCTCTCTATTAGAACGTCCTTGTATGCATGCTTTAGCTACTTTAATTTTATGTTTTAAACTGATTTTTACTATTTCAATTCTAACCTATAAAAATTGAAAGCAATGTTTGGCTTAGAAAGGTAAATTTTTGCTCGCAGTTCAACATATTAAATAATTTATTTTCATGTTTTTTGTAATGAAAACAGGAATATAATAAGGGAATGATATGCTCTATTTGAAGTGACTTTTACTTCTAACCACTGGTGGGAAAGTTGAAAGATTTCTCACGATAGAAAAACAGTAGAGGACACAGCCATTAAATATTTGAATGCTAGATCTAGGTTATTTTTATAGGTTCTCACTCATACTACTGTTATATATTCCCTTATACTATACTTTCAAAAACAAATGTATAGATTATAAAATTCTTACTCAGATATAATTACAGTCAGAACTTCTGTTTACCAGATTTTCAGGACACTTTTTAACAATCAAAATAAACAAATAGCTTTTCCATTTTTTCTACATTATGTATCTGTACATGGAGTACATCTGTTTTCTTTCTGCTTTTCTGATATTGGTCCTCGTTAAACTGTGCTATCGTAAAGCGCTCGACTTCGTGCGCAGGTCGTGGGGCTACCGAAGCGGGGGTGCCATCCCCTGTGCAGAGAATCAAAATTGTGATGGAATGTCTTCGGATGATCCTCCAGGATGTTTCCCAGACCGTCGCCAATAGCCCATTGTGCAGCTCTAGTACGACGTAAATTTATTACAAAGACTCTTTTTCTTANGCACTGTTGTATGAGTGTACAGTTGCAGTACTTAATCATTTTTGTCACCTTATGTATGGAGCGAGATAAGGAATAGAAAGGTGTTTACTAGTAACATGTATCAGTGAGTAGAAGGAAGATTTAGTACTGTCATCTTACTACATACAGACATTTCGGCGCACTGTAATTTCAGTACCATTTACTCTGATAACGAGGATTTTTATGAATAAGTTTTTGAACTTGACTAGAATGAATAAAATGAAGATATCATGCAGCTAACATTAGAAATTGAATGAATGGAAAAACTACTCATTCATAACTATATATCACAGTAACGTACAATTTTTGAAACCCTGGGAAACTTTAACAATGTGTAGAAAACGATAGAGAAACGTTCTGGAATAGGTTTCTTAGTATAGAGTATTCAGGACAAGTAATAGTAAAAAAGTTTTACAAAAATCTCAAATAAATTATTGCGCATTATTTTTTATAAGAAAATAAAGGGATGTGTTAAGAAATGTAAATTAAGCTTATTTAACTTTCAACTCTAATTGCTCCCTAAGCTTTGGGATTTATAATATATAGTCAATCTGATGTCCCTCCCTGATTTACAAAAATATAAGAGAAAATAAGGGAGCTAAATGTTAAAAGTAAAGTCTCTACTAATTATGTGTTGATAGTAAATTTATAAAAATATACCATCAACTTCTGATGATTGTAACAAACTCTAATAAAATAACTCAATTAAGGTAAAGTGGACTTAAATTACACAAATTAATGTGCTGGAGTAAATATAAAAGTATTATTGAATAGTTATAATGAACGAGATATAGTTTCATGAAATATGTAAAGTTAATAATTAAAAGAGTTAAAGTCTAAACAGCTGAAGAAACAAAAACTAAATATTTAGTAATTTTTATTTTGCTACTAAGTGTTCATACGAACTTTCATCATATCTAGAAATTAAATAGATAATTTCAAAGTGAGCATAAGTCACATATTTTACTAAATCGAGTTAGCATTGGCTTTGCTATGTTTTTAGGTATAAATTTAGATTTGTACAGAAAAGAAATGAATTGCATCACAACTAGACTCTTTATTCATCTGTCATAACATTTATTTAATATAGAAAAAACGAGAGCCGTGAATTGATATCATTATTTTAAACTTTTATTAAATGAATTTTAGTTGAATGAACTTAATAATTAAAATAGATATAAAAATAGTAGTAAAACGAAAATAAAATAACTTCTAAATAAGCCTTTGCATTGTTGAAAAAATAAAAACCGAAATTTTATTACCATATTTACTTTATCTCTAGAATAAATACTTATTATTTCATTCTAAAAAAAAAAGTTAGAAAAAAAAATACCCATGCCATTTTTTAAATAACCGATTTAATGCAAATGAATTATTAAAAAAGGTTTGTTTGAAATATTTCGCACAACTTCAAAGAATATTTCTGTCTTTATACTATTAATGGGAAAGTTGATTACTCCAAATTAATTAAACACTTGCACTTCTACATAATATGCCGGATTATTTTTAGATACATCTTGATGTATTCTACATAAAATACTCTACGTTATCGACAAAAAATACTGTAATAAAAAGGACAATGATATGATAAAGAGAAAAATATTGATAAAAACAAATTTTAAAATGCAACGCTAGATTTTACTTGTTTCTTTTTCTTTTTTTCCGCAAGAGATTCTATGCTCACTCACAGATCATATGAAATATTTTCAAACAGGTTGCAAAAGTATTTATTTCATGTTCAAAATGACCTCAGCAAAGTGAATAGTGCAGACAGTCTATAATTACAACACCTCAAGAAGTAAACCACCCCACCTGTCAAGTAAATAATAGGAGAAAAATGGCCCTTCAAACCACCGTTTTCCATTGTAAGGGGGGAGGAATTATCTCTTACCGTTTGGCAAGGGGTTTTAGAAAAGGCAAGCGGCTATTTCAGGAACCGCAGTTTCTAGATATTGCAACCATTTGGAAGAGGTCAAAATTAAAATATCAAAACCGTCAGTGGGTTAAAAGCAAAGTTAGCCATGAAAATTTACGATTACGTATTTTTCTATTGGCTATTTTTTTGCAGAGTCAACAGTTAATAATCAGGGGTGTCAACAGCCAGTTGTTATTTTTAATTTTTGAGCATTTTTTTTAATAGTAAAAATTACATAGTTTTTTTTTTGTGGTACACTGCATTACCAAAAATTTAGAAAGGGTACACAGGCGACATAAGTTTGAGAAACACTGCATTAGCTGCTTTAATTTTATGTTTTAAACTGATTTTCACTATTTCAATTCTAACCTATAAAAATGGAAAGCAATGTTTGGCTTAGAAAGGTAAATTTTTGCTCGCAGTTCAACCTATTAAATAATTTATTTTCAATTGAATTGTTTAATCGTCAATCATTCAAACCATCACAAGCACCCCTGCTACCAATCTAAATTCTGAAGATGTTTGTTGTAATGGAAACAGGAACATAATAGGGGACATGATATTCTCTACCTAAACCAATGGGAACACTCTGCCCTATTTGAAGTGACTTTTACTTCTAACCACTAGTGGGAAAGTTGGACGATTTCTCATGATAGAAAAACAGTAAAAGACACAGCTATTAAATATTTGAATGCTAGATCTAGGTTCATTTTTATCGGTTCTCACTCATACTACTGTTATATATTTCCTTATACTATACTTTCAAAAACAAATGTAAATGTATAGATTATAAAATTCTTACTCAGATATAATTAAAGTCAGAACTTCCCTTTACCAGATTTTCAGGACACTTTTTAACAATCAAAAAGCTTTTCCATTATTATTTTTTTTTTTTACATTATGTATCTGTACATGGAGTACATCTGTTTTCTTTCTGCTTTTCTGACAGCTTAATAATTATTCTGCTTCAATAAACACATTAAAAGAGTTGTTGAAAAGATGAGAGCAGTTAACGAAAACAAACTTTGGTGAGAATAATAAACCATGAACATTAATGAAACTTAATATCAATAGTGTTCAAAAAGAAAACCAGCAGCTAAGATTTGTTTGCTTCTTCAAATTATAGATGTTTTCATTAAAAAATCTACTGAATTCTGTTCCTCGTTTTATATTATATACTTTTTAAATTTAATCAGACTAATATATTTTAGAATTTGAGGTTCCTTTTTCAACATTATTTTTATCCAATTATCTAACCAGCTAATTCTTCGCATCAAATAGAAGAAAAAAATATTTCTTTATTCATAAAAGAGAAAGTTCAAATTACCATCTACTTAGTTTCTTACACCTTTAAGAAAACATAATTGATGTTAATTATTGTAAATTTGTTTTTTATTTCATTAAATAATGCATATTATGTTGGTTTACCTTCTATAGTTATTATCCCTGGATATGGTACTTTCCTTTTATTTTCTTATACAAAATAATTGCCTTGTTATCACTTTCGACACAGTATATTATAATATACACGGTACAAATGCACAATGATTTTTAGCAATATATTTTATGTGCGATAAAACAACATTTTATGAACATTAATATTTAAAAAAACTAAGACACAAATTGTAACAAGTACACGATAATGCAAACACCATTTCGGCTGTGCGTGATATTTGTTGGTCAGAATAGAGAAAGGAAATGACAAAAGACCTTATAAAAGATTGTTTATTTAATAATAATTTACTCATAAATATAGGTTACATCATTTTTCTAGCCTGCATATGGGATTCACATTAACCATGTTCAAATTTACTTTATGTCCTACCAACTCTCGTATATTGTCTATCTTGTATTTGATCATGGTGGGTCTAAAAAGAAAAGCAAAATTCTTGTTATAGATACAGTTTTTAAACAAAAAGTTTTTTCTATTAAAAAAGAGGTTAGTTTTAAACATGTATCACAAAGATTATTTTTTTCTTAATTTAACAAAATTTCTTTAAAATATTCTTTTATATTAAGTTTATTAATGACAGCACATATCAAAGATTCGGTTGATAATATATTTTGCTTCAATATGAAAATAGATTTTTTTTAATATGATGAAGAAAAATGTTTGTCAAATATATGTTAAATGGTGGTTAAAGCAGTATTTTTTCAATATGAAGATTTTGGGTTCTATTCCTAGTGGAGGTATGAAACTAACACAACTTCAGACTGATGGGTACGAGCTACACTGCGAAGTAAAGGTCGCTAATCACATTATTGTCACTCAATCTGGAAATCAACAACTGGCTTTTATGGGAGTTGTATTAACAAATATTTTAGTAAATGCATTTGTACAAACACATTTTCTTTGAATCTTATATAATTTTTTTGACATTTTACTATGCATTCCAAATTTTAAAGAAATGCTAGATTTTTTGTTTGTATATATATATGAATTGAACTTTTGGCAGGATTTTTGTTTTTAATCTTTAAGTCCGGTGGTCCACAAAACGGGGAATTTTGTCAGCCTGGAAGTGTCAGAGGCTTTAAAATACCCCCTAAAAATCAGGGAAAGCAACTGAGTTTGAGGGACCTTAAAGTTCGATTTTTTTTTCTTCTTAAAAATAGTTGATTGATTTTCAGGTCTTATAACAAGTAAAACTGTTTTGTAATACATTTTAAATACAAAAATTAGGCATATTTAAGAAATTGTAATAAAATTCATGCTTCCAGTAACAAACATGAGGGAAACTCAATAAAATAAGCTTATAGAAGTTGGGATTTTTTTTCCCCAAGTGATTGTGGTTACGTTTTATAATTACATAAATTAGTATTAAAAAATTGAGATGAAGACAGTATTGAGTTTATAAGAGTAATGAAAGACTTTAAAATTTATAAAGATTCAAATTGCGTAAATAAATCCAAGAAATATTGCATTTCAGTGTCAAATTCACCTCTCCAGTGACAGTCCCCATGCAATGACAGATACATCTGGGGGAAGTCCCATGGGTAGCAGCATCTCTGGTCGAAACATTCCGGAGTTGCCTATTTCCACCCATTTCTTAAGCCCTTCATGGTAGCTGAATATTTCCATGCTAGGTTCAGTGTAAGGATTATAAGCAGGTTTGAAACGAAGTTTTGTTATGCCTAAATAATTGAAAAATGCCAATATCATAAGCGCATGTTATTAATTTATGAAAAAGATCATACAAAAACAGTTATCTTAATAAATGTGATATAAAATGAGAAGTAATTTAACTGAAACAAATATCTAACCATTAAAAAACAAACTAATTTTTGTCTAAATATAGTATGCACTTAGTGCTTTTTAAAACATAATATAAAATGCACACTAAAAATATGCAGTATCCTCCTTAAGAAATTTTAAGAGGTTTATATTAAAATAAGGATTTTTTTTTTCATTTGAAGCTAAGAAATAACATTAAAAGGAAGAAAATATTTTCTTAGCAAAATATCTACTAGAATAGCGTTTTATATGCAAGTTTTTAAAATAAAATTATATTCATATAACTTAAGACAAATCTGAAAAAGGAAATTATTCAAAATGAATCAAATCTTAAAAAACTTTACCTACACCTAAATTACTTCAATTTATTATTATTTATAAGAAATTTTGATATGACTATAAATTAGCATTGTTTAACAGAGTTTGTATTAAAAAAATAGATTTTGAGAATTGTTAAACAAATATTGATATTTTTATAACAGCAAAAATATGCAAATAAAAAATGCTTACGTAATATGAAAATCGTTAAAGAAGCAGATTAACTTGATTTCTGTTTAGAATTCAAAAACTATACTACATTGTTTTAAAACTTTATTTTAGAAAACGCTGAATAAACTTTGAAATAAAAACTTTTTTTTTTCATTCCTCTTGTTATGGTGCAAATTTAAACTCTTTTTACTGAAATTTCTAGCCCTTCTTAATATTTACCATATTATACTTATACTAAGTAAATTAAAAAAAAACAAAACAACTATATTAAAATATGCACTATAACAAAAGGATCAAAGAGGAAAGTTTTAATAATATGCAAAATTTTCTTAGAATTGTTAAATCAAAGTTGGCTAATTCATCATAGAATTTAATCTACCTAATTTTCCAAAAAACTGGTGAAGAACACCAATCAGGTCACCGAGCGTCAGTCCCCTGTCAGCTATCACACCCTCAATTTGCTGAAACTCAGCCAGATGTGTGGCGTCCAATGTCTCATTTCTGAACACTTTATCTATGCTGAAATACTTAGCAGGTGCAAAAGGTTCCTAAATTTTAAAAGATATTTTAATTTTACAAGATTATTATTAAATTAAGATGCCTTTGCACAAGTGAACTATTACACTAAATTTTTATTACAAATATTAAAATCAAAATTTCACAGAAATAAAAAAAAAACCTTGCAGTATATTAATTTATGACCAAAAATAAGTTTATTAGTCATATAGTCACCTCCACCAATAAAATCACTGGATTATAAAATCAGTCATTGTTTAAAATCAAATCCACAAAACAATGTTTTATTTTCCAATGCCCATTGACTTGGCTACTCTTTTAGAAGCACCCTATTAGGTGGGTCAACGTTGCTCCCATGGTAATATAACACAGAGAAGAAAAGGAAAGAACACCTATGCCTTATCCAGGATTCGAACCCAGGACCTTTCTGAGTTAAGATCAGCTCCTTGACCACCATACATTTGATTGACATCATCACAATATTAAAGTCCAATTATTGAATAAAATCAGTTTTTAAAATTAACTGTTAGGAAGTCATATGTTCCATAGATGAAAATAAGTTCTTTTTTATCTGATTGTATTTTTCCGATTTATTTTTTGTCAAGTTTTACGCAACATGCAGAGTGATAGGAAATTACAGCCACAAAACACTGAATTACTTTTTTATAACGAAAATTTTAATAGGCACATTTTGAAAAAAATATATACATTATTCAAATCACAGATATGCAAGACTATAATATAAATGTTAGTAGTTAAATAGTTTACAAAAATTTTAAAAATAGTATTTATCATATTTACTTTGTTTCAAAAATTTTTCCATTTTTTTTAAACATAAAAGAGGCATGTGAATGGACCAGTGAAAATGTTTACAGACTAGTGAAATTTTATAGTTACTGGTCCTTATGAACAAATGTTTGAAATATTAAATATTTTTTTTTTCAATTTCTACCCCTGCATGGCAATGTAAAATGTTACTATGAAATGCAAAATTTAATTTTGGAGCATGAAAAATAGCTTGAACAGTAAAAAAAAATATGAAAGTCAATCTTGATATAAGCAGGGGTGATTGTGAGCCCAAGTCAAAATTCCGGAAAATTTCTTGAGTTAAAAAAAAAAAAGAAAAAAAAAATTAAACTGAAAAAAATTTAAACAATCAAGGTTTTTTTCCTTTTTCTCAATATTTCTTAGTTTACTTAAAATATATTTAAAATTTTACACATACCTATGATGACCTAGAGAAGTAATTAAAATTTACAAATATGTCTTTCTTCCTTGAGTTTATGATTATGATAACTATTTACTGATAAAAAATGAATATTAATCATGAATATAAGCTTATAAAGTATCTGGCTCTCCCTAACAAACAAATAAAATAGTGTTTTTAAGTTCCACCCTTGAAAATTTTATTTCCGGAAACTTCTGTGATCAATGATTTTTTTAAACGTCTGAACCTTCGATCTCCGGAAACTTCCGGATCACTGTTAGCGAAAAATCCGGAAATCCGGATTTCTTCCGGAGCACAATTAGCCCTGTATAAGATAAAACATTTGTAGCTGGTAAAATAGTTAAAAAAAGTAAATTAAATGAACTAATACACAAACTTAAAGTATTCAAGTGCATTATCTTATATAAAAGATAACTTACAAAATGCTGAGCAAAAATAATTTTTAATATAAATGTAATAATTTAAGTTATAATAATTTTTGTGTAATAATACTTTTTAATACAAATTTTTTTTCAATAAATTTTGAAATTTGTATGAAAAAGACGCAATTGCCAAATTCTTTTCTTTGGTATTTCTGCGCTAAATCCTTCGGAGCTCTTTACTCAGGATTTCACACCTTGTTTAATTGTTCTTAGGTTCTCCATTTTATTCCTTGTTTTAAATGGTTTTTAATTTTATACTTAAGGTTTTATTGTCATTTTTACAAAATTTTAACTACCTATACCTTATATTTTATTGAGTTGATCTGTCATTCATGTTAGCTTGTTGTGCTGATTTGTCTGTACTTAAAATATTTTCTTTCCACTTGTCATTAATATCCCCTTTTAAATTTATAAATCCCCTTTAGGATTATTTCATCCTTGATTCTCTGCTGTGAAATAGGTAATTTACTTATAAGTCCCCTTTAGGATGTAAAGTTATCATAACCTGGCTCTGTGTAGCTGGGATTTGAGTTGCAAGGTTAAATTTATCTGATGGCTTATCTGTTACATGCCAAAAATTTTTACCTTTTTTTTCCATTTGCAAACACATATTTTTATTGAGTTGTTTCTTTGTTATTTTGAACACCACATTATTTGTGGATTTTAATGAATAATAGATTTGTAAAATTTTGTTTGTCAATAAACGCCACAAGTGGGACTTCGCTGGGCGGAGCCGACCGACCTCGCGTCTCCTGTCCCGAGGGACCTATCCTGATGACGGGTCTAAACTTTTCCGTAAATTCCTGGGGTGGGTCGGGTATGTATGCCTTGGGTTATCTTTTTAAATTCCATCAATAAATTTGACAGATCTTAATATTAGGGATATGTGTACATTTTAGTTATTTTTTCTGAAAATGTTTGATCTACCAAAACAAAAAATAATTTTATATTTAAAATAGATATTTTAAGTGTAACAATACTGGATTTTAAAAAAAAGATTAATTAGTTTAACCCACAGACACATCTGCATGTAAGAAGTCCTATTTTAATCCGAACTCTTCTGGCATAGCATAACCGATTTTTCCATATTCTTAGATAGGGAAATAGTGTGTTAGGAAAAACATTCTCCCAATTTTCCCCATTTGCTAAACTGCCAGTGAGCTAAGGAAAAAAATCACGCGAAATATTAAAATATTTAAACCAGTAGAGATTTAAGAAAACAAACTTTTTTGGCCAGCTGATATAGCATTCTTGCACTGACTGCTGTGGTGTGAGTTCGAAGAAGATTCTTTTTAGCTTCAGATAACTTCCAATCATATTTATACCTAAAATGAATTAAATAGGGTAAATAAAAATACATCCTGAAATATTTACATAAACATGCAACAGCAATCACAATCAAACTACAAAATCTTTTTTATAACATTAAAAAACATTTTCCAGATTTAGATCACATGAAACCTATCTTAAAAAAAAAGATATAAAAAACTTTAAAAATATGTCACTTTTATTAAAGAAAGAAACTCTTTATTACATTAACAAGTCTCATAGAAGGCCAAATTAAAAAATCATAATACAAAATTAGGATATTTTTTAGAGCAGTATAACTTACACCAGACTATTTTTAAAAAAGTTAAACTCGAAACTAAGAAATTGTAATTTGCTTTAAATATAATAAAAGCAAATTTTATTGCAAAATAAAATACATTTTAATTTCAGAATGACTTTGTTTACAATAGTAAGGTTTGATTATGAAAAGTATGCAATTTAAAAAAAAGGGAAAAAATATGAATTTTAGAACTATACATAAGCTTGAGAATATTATTTAGGTAATTAATCAGCAATGCTACAGACAATTATGAGATTGCATTTTAAAAACAATTCAAAAGATTACATTGTATGAGAGCCAAATATTTTATCATGGCAATAATTTTAGATTTTGTTTCTTAAGGTGAGAAGTTTAAAATTTAATACCTAATAAATCACTAATATGTCAATTGGCCAAAAGAATGAAAATTTTCAAATTATCTTGGTATAGAATGTTAGTAACATGCAATGATTACCAATAATTCATTGAAAAATTTATAAATTGCAATCAATTTTTATAAGTTTTAAGTTTTATTTGATTATTTCTTACACACTGTGATACATGTTGGATAGAAATTTTTTTGCATGCAGTACGTTATTTTTTTAAATCATTGAAAATTTAAGAAAAAGTCTGAAAAAAATTGGAAAATTAAAAAAAAATGAAGAAAATCACAAACCTAGTGGAAACTATCATGCCTGTATTAAAAATTTAAACAGTTCTTTTAAATACATTAAAAAATAATGTTGCTTACCCTTGAGATCCATAACCACCTACAGAATGAACTTGTTTGACTTTTTCTAAATAATCCATAGGAAAATCACCAGCTTCCTGGGGATCTATGGAAAAAACGAAACCAACACAAATTATGCGCGGATATTGAAAAAAAATCAGACTAAAATAGAGCACAAATTTAAATGAGGCAAGGCCATAGCCATCGGTACATTTCAGAAGTTCAAACATCTTAATAATGAAAAACTTATAATAATTGAGAAAAAAAAACTTTTTTTATTAATATAATAGCATCAGCAGGAGTAACTATTATTCAGTTTTTATGGAAATGTAAGATAAATTTGAAAGTATTTAACAATTGAAAACAATTCAAAATAGTATGTTTGTTTTTAGTCACATTATCTTTAATTCTATAAACTTAAAATAGATTTTAATTTAAAACAATAATTATTAGTAATTATTAATTATTAACAAAGTAATATGATCCCCAGAAATTTGAAAAATGAATTATAGCCTAATCATATAACATGATATAGACTACATATTTTTTTAGGGGGAAAAAAAGCACCAATTCAATGTGTATATGTCCTCACATGGTTTGTAGTGAAATTAGTTTTAAAGAAATCACAAAAAAAAAAGAATGCATAAAGATAGTGGGAATACATTTTTGTTGATCTATAATATTTCAATATTATTTTAATTTCCAATATGTCATTCATTTACCAAAAGATGGATACTATTAGTACTTAGATACATTTTCTAGATAATAATGAGTGAAAAAGAGCACATGCTATACAAAAAAAGTTGTAAAAAAATTAATTAAATTATTTGTTTAATTTTTAAAATGATTCTGAATAATACCACTTTGGAAGAAGTCATATAAAAAATACATATGGCATGGAATTTTTTTTTTAATTTTTTAGCTTCATTACAAACACATCACTTATCATAACTCTCAGAGCTTAGTTCAATAATAAAGTGTCAATTCAAAAACTTTTGACATCAATTCAATTCTGTTTATTTCATTAAATAAGTTGATTTCGAATTTGTTGACTCAAATCTATTTTTTGAGAATTGGTATAGTAACGTAAGTAATTTGAGTTCATTAGTCCAATTCAATGGATTTGAAAATCTTTGAGTAAGTGATCTGATTCCATTGATTCAACACAGAATTCACACAATCATAATTGATTCACAATTATGATTTACTTTAACTAACTTAACGTCATTTAAACTTGTGTGGAGTAAATAATTTGAGTCTTATTAATTTAATCCCATTGATATTTGAGAAAGTGCTTTGAATCTATTATAAAACATATGATCACAATTGTTTAACTTTTAATGCATGAAGTGAGATTAATTGTGAGCATCACCTGAAACAAAGAAAGTGTCATGAGCATCTCTAGCTGGATGTTGTTGAGGTTGAAATAAAGCGTCAAAATTCCAAAACGAGCTTTCAATGTAATTGTTTGTAGGCATCTCGGTGAAACTAAACAATAAAATACATTTATATAAATAACATAAAATGTTAGTTAAATTGTAAAATGGGAGAAAATTGTTTGTAGACAATTTCAAAAGAATTAAATGACAATCATATAAAATAGATTTATATTTCCAGTTCAGTAAAAAATCAGTAAATAGAAAATCTTTTTTAATAAGTCGTTCTTCAGAAGTAAACAATAAAAAAAATTACTGAAAAACAGTTTCACTGAATCATGCTTGAAGAAGTTCCATATTACAAAGTTACATAGCTTTTAGAATATAAAATAGTTTATATTCTAAAATCCATTTGATCCTTAATTTCATCAATACTAAACTAACTTTTTCACAAAATCATTGCTTTTAACTTTTACTGCTTAAAACTGTTTCTTTCATTATCAAATCATTAGAAAAAAGTATGCAGAATGTTTCTAGAAATAAAATTAATAGCGAAAACCTCTGAATTTTTGGAAAAAGTTATAGGCAGACTTAATTGTGTTAGAACTGTTTTATAGGTCTTCATAGCTGTTGGAATTTTTTTTTATAATAGAACACAAGTAATTAGATTAAATTAAAAGAATTAGTAAATTATATTTAATATGCATTTTTTTATATTAATGGTTAAGTCTTCTAGCAGCTAAGTTAAGTTTCAATAAGCAAAACTCAGTGTGAACATGATTTTTTTAAACTAGAGTTTTTGCATATCTTCTATAAATGCAGCACAATAAATAAATACAAAAAGGAGAAAAAAAACGAAGAAAATTTAGAAAATAAATAAGCACGCTTCGTAAAATCAATAAGTAATCAATTTATGCTTTTATCTCAATTTGCGTTTCTGTTTTCATATTTTGTAATCTGGCAATCTTATTAAGAAAATATTTTAAATTAGTCTTGAAAATTTTCCTGTTCATGTTAGTTCATTTGAAACCCCTACTTGCTTTATAGATTTCGTTTTATGTTTCGCTCTGTTTCTTCTTTAAATTTTATTTTCTGTTTTTTTTTTTACTTGATGTTTATTGCTTAATATGTGTTCTATTCTATTTTGTTTCAAAAAATTTTTCGTTTGATTATCACACTATTGTATTATATATTTTACTTTGACTATATTGATACAATATTAGAAAGACTCCTTTTGCAGATATAATCGTATGAGCTGATGAAGAGATAATATCTCTTTTTTCCGGATTTTTATTAATTTTTTATTGAATAATTTTCTTTTCTTTTTTCATTATTCTGCAATTTTTCCCATGTTTTCTTTACATTTTGAACTTATATATATGCATACTTTTTTTTAAAAAAATTATCTTAGCTTATTTGTTTAAAAAAATTTTACCATTCCAGAAGTTTTTTCTTTCTTTCCTATGAAAAACTTCTCATACAGAGTTTATTGTGCAATGTAATATCAAAATACCTTTAACCATTATACTATTTAAACATTTCATACATTTGTAATCATATATTTATTTTATAACAGATTAGTAAAATTAAACAGAATAATGAACTGATATTTATAATAAGTTTACTATGCTTAAATAATTTTATTTGACATGTTGATCAGATGTTTCTGTTGGCGCCTCTCTCGGCTTTGGCTTTATTTATCTATTTAATTTGGCGAAAAGAAGAGCTCTTGTTGTTTTTTGTTCTGATATAGTCGGACGTCTTCAAAAGGGCGTCATTCATCGTTTCATTAATAAATAGTTAAATAGTTATCGTTTGTTCTTAGACATTAGTAATACAGTCTGCATATCGACCCCGTCAACATGTTCCTGTCTATCTGGAGTTCCAACCTGGTATAATTCGAAAATATTAAATTTTATCAACTTTCGTTCTCGTTTCGTCATAACTTCGTTTTGGAACTCATATTTTCGATTTATAAAAATGACTGATACTTCAAACACTGAGGAACAATATGAAAAGAGCTTAAAACAATTGAATCGTCGTTGTGGTAGCTCTAAAAGCAANCTAGGTTGGAAAGCTTTATTTCTACAAATGGAAATGAGGCTGATTGTCTCGAACTGCAATCTCGTATCGATAGCATAGGATTAATTCTTCAAGAAATTGAAGTTTTAAAACTGGATTATTATTCAATTTTGAAGGATGAAGAATTAGAAGCTTATCAATCCCATTTTGATGAAATGGAAGAACAGATAGAATCTTACAAGGTAAGCTTACAAAGACTTTTTCATTCAAGAAGTTCTAATATTTCTCATTTGCATAAGAGTGATCAATTAAGTACTAGTAAAATAAATGTTAAATTGCCAGATATTTGCTTGCCTTGTTTTGATGGAAAAATCGAAAATTGGAATAACTTTAAGCTTCAATTTGATAGTTTGATAACTGAAAATCAGTCTTCAAATAGCATGCAGAAATTGTTTTATTTATGTTCAGCTTTAAAAGGTGACGCTAAATATATTGAAACGCCAGAAGATACTTTTGAATCCTTGATGAAAATCCTAAAAGAGAGATTTGAAAATACTCATTTAATTGTAAATAATTATATCTTGAACATTTTGAATTTCGAAAAAAAATTTGTAAAATCTTATAAAGAATTGAGACATTTAATTGGCACTTTAAATAAAAGTTTAAGAGGTTTGAAATTAATGAAATTGGAAACTAATGATCTTGTTGAACAATTAATGATTAACATAACTGTTCAAAAATTGGATAAGGAAAGTCGCAAACAGTATGAAATAAGTTTAACTTCAACTGAACTTCCAAAATTCAATACATTTATGGAATTTATTAAAAAAAGATGTCAAACATTAGAAAATCTTCAGGGAAACTAATTTTTTGTGAACAAAGCTAAGAGTATTCAACATCAAAACAAAGCACGCAACTTTGTTGTGAAATCGAATTGCAATAAATGCCATTTGTGTTCAAAGGACCATTTAATTTACAACTGTCCCTCTTTTTTAAAAATGTCACCAATACTCCGATTTGATATTGTTAAGAAAAATAATCTGTGCATTAATTGTTTAAATGCATCACATAAACTGAATTCCTGTCCATCGAAATTTACATGCAAATTCTGTCAAGCTAAGCATAATTCCTTATTGCATCGCAAGGAAAATAATTTTTGCCAAACGGAGATTCATTAGGAATCTCTAATAGAGCAAGATTCGCAGGCGCCAGTCTGTAATCCAAGTTTTCAGGACATAAATAATGTTTTGAATGACAATTTAATATCTCATGCATTCGCTACTACAAACATTTGTAGAAATAAAAACATAATTCTCGCAACAGCTCTAGCTTGGATTTGGAATCCTGTTCGCAACTGTTTTGCTCAAGGACGTTTATTGTTGGATAGTGGAAGTATGGTAAACATTATGACTTCGGATTTCGCAAACAAAATAGAATTGAAAAAAACAAAACAAACAATAAATATTTCAATAAGTGGATTAGGAGGAAATGAAACAAATGTTAAATATAAATTAAATGCTCTTGTTTCTAATAAAGATTCATCGTTTTCGCTTTGCACTGAATTTTTAGTAGTCAATAAAATTACGGATTTAATTCCGTCTAACACTTTGAATTTAGGGAACATTATTATTCCCAATCATTTAATATTAGCTGATCCCTCTATCGCTAAGGCTGGAGAAATTGATATGATCTTAGGCGCTGAACATTTTTTTGAAATCATTAAAGAAAATAAATATCGCACTTCAGAAAACTTAACATTTCAAGATTCTGTTTTTGGTTTTATTGCTAGTGGTTCGTATGAATCCAAAAATCCAAAACATTATTGTAATTTAGTTTATCGTGCAGAAAACATTGAAAATAGCATTAAGAAATTTTGGGAAATTGAAGAAATAGATAATTCCCGAATTTTGAGTGATGAAGAAGCATTTTGCGAAAGTCACTCTCAAAAGAATCATACAAAAGCAGAAAGCAGTCGTTACATGGTCAAAATGCCTATTTGTGAGGAAGCGCTGGAAACTATAGGTGAATCTCGTTATTTAACTCAGAAACGCTTGAGTCAGACCGTGAGAAGATTAAACACCAATCCTGAAATGAAGAAACTTTATTGTCAGGGATGAGATTAGCCAAAACGCAAAAAAGCTGAATTTCCATGATAGTAAATTTTACGCAAGCGCAACCCTTTAGTAATAAATTCCAGACAGTTTAAGGTAAT